CTTTGCTGGGTCAGACAATCTTTCACACCAAAATCCATCTTGCACACTTATACATCTACCATACGTTCGGGAATTGAATATTGCTACCATATCTGGTTTCCTATATACCTAAATATTCTCGAAAAAATACCCTAAAATCCGTGATGTTATCGGTCCTGAAGTGGTATCTCGGCTAAAGTCAATTTCCTTTCTCTGTGACGTGGTTTCCCTCTGTTATTGCAATAATTATTTTCATTAAAATTGTTCTAGTTAACTCTCATCCGTGTACATCGACCGTATGAATTCAAGCGTGTATATATATATAATATACATATATATACATATATATATATAATATATATATATATATATAACATATATTACTATATAATATATATATATATATATATAACGAGCGTTAGTAAATGACTGATTATTACAATTGTGAGGATATAATTATGTACAACCTATTTTCCCGCGAAAAAAGAAAGAAAAGAAAAAGAGCAAGAAAGAGACACAAGATATCATCTCTTTTCAAGGGAAAAGGAAAAAAGAAAGGAAAAATATACAACTTGTTATGTTAATAATCGGTTCAATCAATCAAATTAGCTTATGCTAAATAAGAGGTCATGAAACACAGGTTTAAAATTGCAATGTTATATTTGAAACAGTCTGTTACAATGTTAACGTTAAACGGCTAAGACTTCCCATGAAGAAGAAAACGTAATTTAACAATAAATTAAATAAATAATATGTCTCCTTTACGAATAAATGAAAAAAAAGGAAATAAAAATATTTAATAAAATAACGTGAGCTTAGAGACCAAGCAAAATATTTAAATAAATGAAGTAAACGAAACCTTTTGGCTTATAGATCATATAAAATAAAATAAAAAATATATATATAGATCATACTAAATGGAATGCAACTGTTAGCTAAAGGGTTTTATATAGGGTATTAATAAAACAAATCCATGGAGAATGTTAAAACTTCAGCCAAACGTATATACCTCTAGTGAAAATATTACCATTAGTTGAAGAATAACGTACCAACTATACTACATCGTAAACGTCTAACTAAAGATAGGCTTTATATGTTTAAGAAGTAATTGTCAAATTTCAAAGTCTAGCAATATTTCAGGGTAAAATGTGTTTCACAATTGACTGTTAATTCAAATCATTGATTCAATAAATCCTTTCTATTTAAAAATCTGATTATCTGCATTTTCTCCTGTAAACACAGAAAACCAGCTTCGTATAAGGATCTGCATGTCCTTGCTCGTTTTAAAATTTCCCATTTAACTTTAGAGGTTTTATTTTCTTCTGTCAGCTTTCAAAAATATTTTGAAAGTGAAGTTTTATTTCTATAAGTAACATTAATAAAAGAGGATACATTGCTTATACCAGCAGTTTTTGAAAGCATTCTTGGCACTGCCAATATAAAACATTTCAATCCTCGGATTCTCTATTGTAGACATAAAACAGATTCTGTTGAGTAGTTCTTAGACAATATTTGTTAACAATATTTGCATTAGAGCTTGCATTATGGTTAAAGTTATTAAATTAGTTAAGTGTCCTAGTGTTATGCAAATTTATGATCTTCTGAAGATTATTGGTGATTATTAACGTATTTTATTAAAATAGTCATTCAAAGATTAAATCGATAAAGTTAATGTATTAATTGTGAACTCGTTTCATCTTTGTTTTTATTAATTGAACAATGAATTAGATGTTCTGTCCATATTGCTAGCAAGTAATTTCGGTAAAATTATCCTCAGGAATAGATTTTTTTTCCTCGATTTCAGGTAATTTCGTGTAAAATTCCAAGACGAAAATGAATGTGATACTTTTCGAAAGATGTTTTATTATTGGACCAACAGACCATGTCACGTCAATGGACAAAACACTTGCAATAATAGAAATTGTGAATTACTACATTACTACAATATTAAAAAAAATCTAGCATCGCATTACTGCACGTTCAAAAAATTCTTAACTCTTAATAATAGCACACATGTTTTAATAAAACATCTTTCGACACGTATCACATTCATCTTCATCTTGGAAGTTTACCCGAAATTACCTAAAAATTGAGGAAAAACATAACATCTATGCCTGAGGATGGTAAATGTTTTTACGGAAAGTACTTGCAAGCAATATGGACCGATTATCTACTCCATTGTATAATTAATAAAAACAAAGATCGCGTCGTTCAGCGAGTGGTCAGTGAGTTAATGCCTTCTTAACGTGTTAGCGATGTGGGTCGCCATTAATTACATTGACTTTATTGATTTATTCTTTGAATGACTATTTTACAAAATTCATTAAGCTGCATTATTTTATATATGTGTCTTTTTGTGTGTGAATTACTGTTGCTGTAATTCTTAAATATCCTACATGTTAATAGCAGTATTTTTAAGTGTGAAGGTGTTTGCAGTGACGAAACGTCTCGAGCATCTTGCTAGTCTATCGATATGTTCATGGCATATCTATTGACAAGCTATATTCCTCGGACTCACCAGCCCTGATTGTCTTAACTGGGACCAGCCATGTCACGTACACAAGGATGAATCCTCCTAATTGCCCTTCGTAGAATACTTGCCCCCCCCACACACACACACACACTGAGTCAGGTTGTGACACAAGGTCAAATTTTAAAGTGGTGATCCGAGTGTTTTCACTCGGGCCGCTGGTCAGAGTCGGTCTAAGCTAGTCATAGCTTGTCCAAGCTGGTCAGAGCTGGTTTAAGCTATTCATAGCTTGTCCAGGCCAGAGCCGGTCCAAGCTAGTCGTAGCTGTCATACCACCAGCGGAGGAACGAATCCCTACACGAGGTATCATTGCCCTTCGTATTCCGTTAGTATGAAGTAACTTCGGCTCAGGTAGCTTCCTTGCAAGAACTGCTGCTTTGTGTAACTGACTCCCGGCTGGATACTTTCTCGACCACTATTATCTTGACATTTTTAAGTCTAGAATTAACGCTTATCTTCACATCTTTTCTTTACTTTCGTACATACACCCACATACAATGACCCTCTACCTTGAGTGGCTATTGAGACTTTTATTAGTAAAATTAGTATCAGAAAAAAGATAGGCTGTATTTAGTTCCAGAACTACATCGATAAGTTTCAATCGATAAAACCATTATTAGGCTGAAGAAGTCCTTTCGAACGATGAAGCACGTAATGTAGATGTTGTTTTATTTTATTTTGTCATTCGATTACCAATTTTATCAATTACTAGTTTTACATATATATATATATATATATATATATATATATATATATATATATATATATAATTTGAATATTATATCTTCCAGTAGTAGCACTGTAAACTTTAAGTCTGTGGGTGTGACTTCCCAAAGTCCTGAGAAGTAATTAAAGTGGTTACATCAAATAAAAGTACTTTTAAAGCATTTATCCGCAGGCCCAGTTCGAACGGAATATTGCACAGTTCGAGTCTAAAGTGAGAATCTTCCTAGAATTAGAAAAACACAATTACCCAGCCCTCTCAGCACTTGGTCACCGGGACGCTACAGACATTAAGGAATGACTTTCTATAACTATATATGTCTCTATCTATATCTATCTCGTTATCTATGCGTCTCTGTCATCGCATCTCTCTTTCTATATCTCTTTATCTCTTTCTTTCTCTCCCTTATATACCTGATGCGATGAGAAAGAAAGTAATAAATAAATTCCAACGTTCACAGCATTAATCCAAAAGAGGGCTCGATACCGATACTAGGGCGATAATTATTTATTATTCATAATTTTATCATATAGACAAAATCATTTTACTCACTACAAAGATGCATCTTGGTTTCAGTGCATTTCAACTGCACTTCGACAGGTGAGAATCGAAAATGGTTATAAACAATCCTGCTTGTAGGCAAGCCGTATGTGAAACGTCACTTCCTTTTTTCCATTTGCTTGAGAAGAAAAAAATATAGGTGACGGAATCGAAGACACAGTATAGTAGGACCAATTTCACACCGTCTGTGAGAAAAAGAGCACCGTAATGCAATTCACTTCGCCAGAATTTTGGAAACGGCATGCTGTTCTGCTTGGCATTCGCGCCGGAAGCTTCAATATGAACATTTCAGAGTCTTTAGGTGTCAATCTCAGGACAGTCTAGATGAAAGAGTTGTATTATTCTAATGAGGATTACAAAAGTGTTTGGAGTGATCTCTAGAGATAGCAAAGATTTGCCTCCATTCATCTTCTCACGTGACCTCAGACTCAACACAGAGGCCTACATCAAGTGCCTTGTCCTGGGTAAAGAGAGTGGATGCTAGAAAACCCAATGTCTGGCAGCAGAAATCTGCACCATGCTGCACAAGCAGGAGTAGCCAGTCATGGCCACCAGACAATTTCTGCGGGCATATCACCCCTTAAATGTGTTCACCTAACTCTTCATACTGCGACCCCCTTGTTGTAGAGTTGTTTTCACAGTGGAGGCTTGTATTTCACTAAGTCGGTCCTAAATTAGGTTCGACGTACAAAACGTTAGAAACTTAAAATAATAGTTAATGACGCAGCAATCTAGTTGGGGTGGTTGATACTTCAATGTCCGACATCGACTGACTCACTCAACTCCACCACTGAGCTCAACTGGCGACCGCTACTACTACTACTACTTATTATGTGTGGGAGAGTCTATTACAATAGAATAGGTAATGTTCCGGTACAACACCCCTTGATTATGATATTTTAAGTGCAGTTGAGCGAGAGACCAATAAAACTCTTTGTAACACCAAAGATGAACTGATGGCAAGATTACAGTATCCACCAACTTAAACAAGGAGACCTTCCAGGAGAGTTACAAGAGATTCTGAAGTTATCTGGAGGCTGTGGTTGAAACTAATGGCGATTTTATTGAATAAATATACTCTTTAGTATTTCAAGATAATTTTGTGTAATTTTCTTAAATATATATGTTAACATGAGATGTCAGTGTTATTTTCATTTTAGTGTAATTTAGTCGAAATTTATCTATGGCACCCATTATATAACGTGCTTACGGTCACATCACGTTGAGAGACCGATTCCCGTCCGATCACCGAAGTTAAGCAACATCGAGCATGGCCAGGACCTAAGATGGGTGACCGCTTGGGAATAACAGGTTCTGTAAGTTTGTATATTCGGGTGGCGTAATGGATATTGTTAATCGGAGAGCCGAGTTCCAATTCCAGTTGGGTTCGTTATATTCACTTACGTCCAAATACCATTGGGAAAGGTATGAATCCGCCTGTTCTTCCCCAGCTATGGGTTAATTAGTAAGACTTTTATGACTAATCCATTATTATTTCCAAAACAATTCTTACAATCTAAAAATACTTTCTGGCTTTAAATAACTTGCAAAGGGTTGATAACCCATAAAAAACAAATCAATCAATCAATTATGTTTATAATGCAAACACATACCAAGACTGTTAGTGAAAGAACACAAATAAATTACGCGCTCTGCAGTCATCTTTTTCGATATTCTCGGGTTTATATTTTAAAAATATTTTTTAATCATTTAACCCCAATCTAGGTAATAAAACTTACTCACAAATACCCTAAGAAAAGGTATGAATCCACATCCTTGTATCACTAAATCATTATTATTACTCACAAAAAAAAAATTACAATCTAAAAATATTTCCTGGCTTTAAATAACCTGCAATGGGCTGATAAGCCGTAGAAAACGAATGGATCAATAAACAAATAAATGCCTAACTTGTTAAGCTGTTCAAATGACAGACCTTCGGCGTGAGAAAATGATTAATGTGTGTAGTCCGGTTGAACATTACGACTGAATAATGAGTTCGATACTCACTGGCTCCTTATAAGAGATTCTACATTCAATAACTTCACAAGACGTTGATATGTCTTAAACTCAACAAACCTATTCATATAAAGTTGTTTTTCACTATGAATGCGGTAAACACATAAGCCTTTACATCACAAGAGGAGAGTAAAATTTACGCAGTGATATTGAAAAGTCCTTGAAAAAAGTTCAATACTGAATTCCAAAATAATTCTGATTGTATATGATAACTTTTAGTTTGGTTTGGTTTACGGCATATCAACCTCAATGGGTTATTTAATGCCAACAACATTTTTAGTATATATCCGTATGAATAGAATATGTATTCTTTGGTTTAGATTGGTTTGGTTTCTTTTGTTTTACGGCATATCAACCTTAATGGGTTATTTAATACTGACATTTTTAGGATAGATTCGTATGAATAGAATATGTATTATTTGGTTTAGACTGGTTTGGTTTATTTTGTTTTAAGGCATGTTAATCTCAATGGGTTATTTAATGCCAACAAATTTTTTTATTGCTGATAATATTTCGTTTTGTCAAAAATCTGTTTCTGGTAATATTTTTCCTTCAAAATTGTATTGCTAGTAATAGTTTTTTCAAAAACTTTTGCTGGTAATAGTTAACTATTCGCCCATAGCTGGGACCCTAACAGGCGCTACCACCCCGGGTCAGTGTGGACCTGGGAACACCAGCAATTAAGAAGTGGTTCTACGCTCCTCGAAATCTCCTGATCAGAGGCCTTGATGTTGGACGTAGTTTATGGTCTTACCCAGGACTGGATAATTTTTAGGATCTTTTGTAGAATGGGAAAGCAACGAAAAAAGCATTTGGTCCGTACAATGTCGGGTACTATTGCTTGTAAAATATTAATAGTGGAAATACTTCCTATAAATATTTGTAATATCATCCGGGCAATCAATATGAAGACTTCATTTAAAGTTTTAAATGATTAATATGACGGCCCAAGGCAGGTGAGATTGACAGCAGTAATAAAGTTAAGCGACAATAAAGAGAGATAAGCTTGACGACAAGGCTGAAGAAGAGGTGGGACCAAGGTACTATTTCGCCACAATACAATAGCCAAAAAGATACACGCGCTAGTTCGTTAATTTGGTCACATCATAATTTGAACTAAATCTCGGCCCACTTAGATGCGGTTGAATCAGGATTAGCAATAAAAGGGTAGTATTAAAAAAGATGAGATAACCCTAGATATGAATAGTGGAATGGGAACAATCTAACAGTGAAGATTAAATAAAGAGCTGAAGAAGGCAGGGCTGAACAATGACCGAAACGCCTTGATAAATAAGGACATCGATTTTTGTAAAGTTTATTAGGGGGCGTAATAGCTTTTTTTTCCTGCTGATAAGACAGCAAGTTATATGAGAATTATGTGCAAAATTCTCTTCCTTCTCTCGCCTGTCGTAGCATAGCAGTGAAAATCTATATTTTTGTCATGTTAATTGGTTGTCAGTTGGACATAGAGCAAGATTCCGAGTTATACCTTTTCGCAAGACATTAACACAAATTATATAGGAAGAAGAGATAGACACGTTGTCATCATGAGTAACTATATAATATGGACGAAAAATTAATTATCGCCAATCAGGTTTACAACTAATTTAGAAGATGTATGACCTGCGAAAATCTCGGCTGGGGAAGGGCGAATAATATTTCAGGTAGACTTGTGCAAAAAAAAAACAAAAAAAAAAAAAACTATCAAATTACAAGGACAAAAATAAAATATGTAATTGAATTGTCAGGTAAAATTTACATGCACATATATATATATATATATATTTACATATGTATGTGTTTGTATATAAATGTGTATATGTATGTATACATGCATGTGTATATAATATATATCATCCACGAAAAATATGGACCGATCCAGAAAGAAATTTACGTAATATATATATATATATATATATATATATATATATATATATATATATATATGTGTGTGTGTATGTATGCCTCAACAAAAATCAGAGAAGCCACTCATTAGATGTTATGTAGCTTTTATACAACGACTGCAAAAGACACCCAACGTTGCCACATCCGCGCTTCTCATATTTGGCACATGTCAAGCAATGGTATTGCTCGAATCGGATTACAGCTATCGCGCATATATATATATATATATATATATATATATATATATAGTCAAACCTAGAGAGCCAGACAAACCTACCAAGGTTTCACCTAAGCGGATCCTCAGGGAAAGCTGAGATATATATATATATATATATATATATATATATATATATATATATATATATATATATATCGTAAAATACATTTATTGGATGATTTGGTACCCATCAGTGATGTATCTAGCCGAGGTTAATTAGGGGTTTCAGGTGTTTCAACCACATACCCCCTCTCCACAGTGACCCAGGCGATACTGGCCGGGTGTCGATTTGTGTACCTTCCGTTAGCTACAGTTTTTTTCTTTATAACTACACACTGCCATTCTCCTTAGAAATTTATAGCCCACTCCCAGGAAACTTCCTGTTCATCAGCAATGTGCGCTCTTCCATAAAAAAAGGTAGCAAACGCACTTACAATTTCTATCTTGTCAGAAACATGGGGGCGTGATCGGCTTGAAGTGGTAAGTAACGATTTGTTTCCCTCACTGAGATATGCACACATACGAAAGAAATATATTTATATAATATGGGGATAATATCACATGTTGTGTAAATAATATCGCGCCGAGGTCACCATTTTAATGGAAGTGAGCTACGGTAGAAAAGTTTTATTCTTCCCTTTATGTTTCTTGTGTTATGATTCTTATATCATAGTTCAGAGACGGAACGGAATGGTTGAAAATAAGAGATGGTAAACATGCTTTGTTTTCAGAGACACTTTTATAATACTAGGACATATACAAAATCATATGTACACATACCCCACACAGAGAATATATATATATATATATATATATATATATATATATATGTGTGTGTGTGTGTGTGTGTGTTTACGCAGCAATGCAGAGTGTAAGAAGAAACAAAAAGGATGGGTCTTACATGCAATATGGAGATACTCCTGTGTTTGGAAAAACCATGTATAGCAGCCCAGACTCAAACGGATTCATCTACTAACTCCCAGCCGACGACATATTTCACGATGGCGAAATGGCTAATCTTGGGTTTTCTGGGAGTTTTTTTTTTTTTTTTTATATATCTGGGAAAGATATATTCCCAAAGGGAAACGGTGCCAAGTGCTTGTAAGCAGCCGCGGGAAGTAGATTTAGCCGAAGTCCGGGTCCAGACTGAATAAGCAACCAATTGTAGTGGCTGCTGTAAAAAAAACGAATAACTTGCCACTTTTGTCACTGTATCAAGTGACGTCATTAATGGTTGAGTCGACGGCGCTCGGATCCACAGATCATTTAGACACTTCTTGAACACTCTGTTCATTCAAGAAATCACTTGTACCAATGCAAAAATAATGTAATGAAATGTTTTTCAGTAGTCTTCAATGGAACCTGTATAAAAGAGGACTCCTTGCCAAATACACAGACATACACACACACACATTATATATATATATATATATATATATATATATATATAACTCTTAGTCATTTGAAAAAGAGTAGATATTTACCCTTGCTTCCTGTTTCAAACTGGGTTTCCGGTTCCTTCTACAGTTTTCCCTTCGCTTTCATTTATTGAAGAATTATATATATATATATATATAACATTATATATATATATATATATATATATAATATATATATATATATATATATAATATATATATATATATATATATATATATATATATATATATATATATAACATTATATATATATATATATATATATATCATATATATATATATAATATATATATATATATAACATATATATATATATATATATATATAATATATATATATATATATATATATATATATATATATATATATATATATATATATATATATATATATATATATATATATATATATATATATATATATATATATATATATATATATAAAATATATATATATATATATATATATATATATATATATATATATATATATATATATATATATATATATATATATATATATATATATATATATATATATATATATATATATATATATATATATATAAACATAATATATATATTATGTATTTGTGATGTTGACACTCACTCGTTGTAACTTTCGTTAGATCAACGAATGCTCGCTGTAGACGAGACTTTGTAAATGCAGATACTAGTAGTAGTTCTAGTAAAGCCTTCAAATAATACTCGTACTAATAATACTTGTTCAATAGTAATCGG